CGAATATGTAAGCAGTGTGTAAATAATCAAGAGTGGATTGGGCAAAAACAAAATCTCGATGTAAACATGTCCAAATGAATGATTGAGTTCGCATACACAGACTTATGAATGAAGCCACAGTAGCGGAGCACAAATGTAACAGAATTCGAAAAGAACCAAGAACAGAAACTAGGAGGAGCAGTGGCTTACCAGAGAAAGTGAGGCCGAGGTGAGGATCGCTAAAGTTAGACGACAGTTGCAAAAGCGACGGAGCAATGAAAATCTCGCCGAATGAGGTGAACGGAGCAAGTTGCAGAGCTAAAAGAGCTTGGAGCAATGGTGGATTTGGGAGAGAGAGAGAGAGAGTTGGTACGAAGATGAGAACGCAAAAAGTGAAGAGATGGAGAGAGAGAATTGGTTTTCATCAAAAACCACAAAATAGCGGCAAAACTGCAATCAATTGCTTAAGGCGACATGCCTATCAGACGGCGCACGCACGAGTGATGCGATTTGATGGCGCGTATCGGGTACGACTCAGTAGGAGAAGGACACGTGGCAGAGACAGTTGAAATGTTGTGCATGACAGCTCACACGCGTGATAAAACTCTTGGAGTTCTTGATTTAATGAGGCAAATACCTCGGCTACGTGGATGATCCCGGCTCAATGAACTTGAACAGATTTGGTTAGTGATTTTTAAAGGCGTTGATGCAAACACACAGAAGTGTATATCGTATGGAGCCGATGGCTTCGGCAATAAATGATAAGGCGAGCTTAGCCGACGTGCTAGATGAAAGAAATGATATAGGTTCCATCACCTCAGGTAATAGAACCTAAGGGGCAGTTGTGGGGACATAATTTTTGAATGACAACATGTGGCCGAGGTGTCACCGAAGTGCCAGCTGGGGTGCCACGTGTCCTGGTCATGATGCCGAGGTGATCTCGGATAGGCCGAGGTTATCTCCGAAGATACCGGAGTCCGGGATAAGCGGATAAGGGATAAGAGTCCTGGAATGAAGAAGGACTTCAGTTTGGGTAAAGATAAGACTCTTAGAGAGTTTATCCTAATCCTACTGGGAGTCAAAGATTAGCAGTAATCTTAAGTCCATTACAGCTAGGCTTCTATTGGGACTAGGATTGTGTTGGCTATAAAAGGGAGTCTAAGGTATGCCTTTTATGTTCTGAATAGTGAGTTAAGCACTTTTGCTATCTTTGAGAGATAACTGACTTGATCGTCATAGTACTCCCGGGTGGACAAACCACTGCCGAAATCTCTTTTTTTCTGTTGCAGGTCATCATGTGTCATCTATTCTGCCAGTGCTCTCCAGTTGAATAATTAATTTGACAGTGTGATCAGAAATCTACTCACAGATTATCAATTAAACAAAATTAGTACAATGTGAAAAATAATGACAAAATTAATAAATTACAAGTACTGTATGGATGAATATTGATGCCGTTTAAAATAGGTGAGGGGCCAAACTTTGCCAGGGAGGCACTCTCTTTGTGCTGACCAAGGACATATAGAGTTGCCTCCTTTTGTTGAAAGTAATAATCAAATCACAATGGATAGAGAAAAGTTAGGGAACATGAAAAAAATTTCATGAAAATGATTATAAAAGATTTATGATTATTGGATTACCTTGATTAGTGTGTGGTGTTTTATTCTAAGTGTAATCCAAAGATTACAAAACTTTCATGATTATTTTTATGAAATTTTTTTTATGATACCTATCATTACTGCAATGGAAAACTGTGTTCCTTACTTTATTGAAGACAAATTATCATCACGAGAGAAAGGCAAAGGAACCACCCACTACGTACAGTAGGGAGTCCTCTTTAAATTCATAATTTGTAGGGTTAGTGGGACACAATCTCCATGCTTACGACTCTAGAGAAACACATGCTTATGCTTTTTACACATTATTATAATAATTCTTTTTTTTTTATCTCTCACTTGCTTTAACACAATAATTCAAACCCATTTGACCCAAAATGAATGTGTCCCCAATTTATATTAGAAACATAAATGTTTTAGCCTCTGTGTTAGGTGTTGAAAGCCACATTAACAGACACATGAAGCGAAAGGCCTTCCCAAGAGCTGGAAAGTTAGCTTTATGGGTTTTGCTTAGCTAAAAAAGGGTACAAGTAAAGCTGAGAACAATTGGCCTAACCAAACACAAGGCTTGTGTTGCACCATTGATATTAATAATTCAACATATTGCATCTCCATTGGGAATGGAGGAGAGAGATTTCTCGGATATAATGGTCTTGTTTGGTTTGTGTTTCTCAAAAAATTTTGAGAAAAATTCTCTACAAATAAGTTTTCAAAAGTAATCAAACCAAACAAATTTTTCCAAATTTTTTTTCCAAAACTTGTTTGGTTTACAAATTTTCCAAACAAATCTCTCTCTCATACACATCAAAACAATCACTTTTTCCAAAACTCTCTCTCAAAATAATTTTTCAAAACATCTTTTAAAAAAAAACCAAACCAAACAAATTTTCATACTTTTTATCTCAAAACATGTTTCTCAAATACAAACCAAACAAAGCCAATATAATATAATATATATTCAGGGTTTGTTTGGCATCTACTAGATAAGATAAAAAGCCAAAAAGTTATCAAAAAAGCCAAAAAGATACTTTATCTCGGAAGATTGGGCGGCAAAACCCTATCTGACTCTGCAGAGGGTAAAATTACGTTTTTGCCCTTCCTTTTTGAAATTGCATCAGTCGAATATATCACAGAATATACACGATCAGAAAGCCCCTTTCCTTCTCCAACCTCACAAATCCCTCAGTCGGTTGAACAAGTCTAGTCCGTCGAAGACACCGCCCACGGCCGGAGATCCGTCACACCCTTCACCTTGCACCACCGCCACAGCCGTGCCAAAGGTAGACCTCGACGCCATCACCTGAAAACTGTAACTGACAGGAAGGACCATCCCTCGTCCAGATCTGCACCACCGCCGACCAGATCTACACTACTTCGGCCCGTATCCCCCAAAGAACAAGGTAACATCTCTTCCACGCCACTGATTTTGGGCATGTGAACCAAATCTGTACATTTCCCCATTTTCGGCAATTTGGTAGTTGCGAAGAAAATCAATGATTTTTCCTAAATCGCCATGTACTCTCTGTACTATCACACTTCCACTTTCCAACCTTTTCTTTTGTTTACCTTCTTCATCACTCTCTCCTCTATTCCTCCACTTTCCTTTGTCTTTAATGGCTGCCCCATAACCTAACCCCTCTATCATACAGTATGCGTGGTTCGATGTTTTAGCCTTCTCGGTCTCTCTCTTTTTGGTCGGTGAAGATGACCCACACAGCCCTTCAAAAAATTTGTAGATTTTTTGACCTGGGTGTGTGATGGTATTGGGGATTTTTTCTTCTGTGAAGCTTTTGTTTTCTCAGATACCCATTGACAAAATATTTTATATTTTGACAAATTTTTTCTTGTTTTTTTTCTCCTGGTAATGTTGGGCTTCTATGCTTGTAATGTTCACAATTTTCGGTTTGGATATTTCACAAAGCTTGAGTTTGTTGGGTCTTTAAATTGAGAAATATGTGTCAACCATTTAGGTCTGTTTGTTTTTTGCTTGTTGTACACATCTACAAAACAAAATGGAGATTAGTGTTTCAAAACAATTGGGGCAAATTGGGGCATCATCACTGTGTATTTGGTGATTCAATAGAAGGTTTAAGGTTGAAGATTTGACATTTGAAGGAAATTTCTTGAGTCAGTAATGGTTACTTGTTTCTGGCATCGTTAGCGTATGAGAGGAGTTGGCTCTAGTATGAGAGGGTATGACATTAACATAGGACGATAGGTAGTTTTCAAGTAAAGGGAAATGGATGGCAATTTTAACTACGAACAGACAAATATATCATTGGTAATTTTTTTAAGTAAAAGGAAATGGATGGCAATTTTTTAAATTCTTTCGTAGGATTTGTTATATGTCTTCTTTTTTTTAATAGAAGGGTTTATTATACGTTTTGTTATGATCTTTTCTGATATTTTAATTTCTCAGTTGATGTGTCAACCATTTGGGTCTGTTTATTTTTTGCTTCTTCTAACATCTACAAAACAAAATGGAGATTAGTGTTTCCAGCATCGTTAGTGTATGAGAACAATTTTTATTAATGAGACCTTATCTGCATTTCATAAAAGGAGAAATAACTGTGTACATTGCTTAAAACATGAATGATCATAGTACTAGGAGAAGCAACTGTTTTTCCTTTTCCAATTATCTCGAGTAATAAGCACATGACAAGCAATTCTCAGAAGCCAATTTCGATCCAAAATTTAGGTTGCTGCCCTAAAGATAATATATATTGCATTTCATAGAGTTATATTCAGTACAATTTAATAAACAGTTCAAAGCTTAAAAGATCTTCTAGGTGAATAGCATTTCAGATTCAGGAATAAACAACTGACAACTTTTGGTAATGGTAGATAACAACTTCTTCTAAATGGAAGCCACAAGGATGAGTTGGTTTGGAATGGATAAATGAATCCATGGATATTCATGATGCGTCTATATTATCTCACAGGCAAGTTGCATAAATACCATACACTATAGCAATAGAGCTCCAATATCGAATGATTCAAAAAAAATTAAAAATACAGAACAAGTACGTAGGGTGATCAGATTCTGTTTTAATCAATTTTAATGGGCAGAACTCCATATTATTGAACTAGCTAACTGGGACCATGCTACATAGGCACAACAGAGGCTACATTTGATGTATCACTGCAGTGAATATATATCTGTGCATGTTTATATATGAAAATCCTTTTCAGAGCAGTAATCCAACAATATAGAAGGCAACAAGAAGAACCGCATCAAGAATGAACATGAAACTATGAAATCCAGATACGGTCTTTTTTTTTTTCAATTGTTTTAACTAGATGGATGGGAATTTCTTAAATACATATTGCTATTTACCATTTTCATGTTGTGCCAATGGTAATTTTTTGACATTTTCACAATTACTGTTGCATTATAGTACAGCAATGGAGCACTCACAATCGCCATCCACACCTTCGAGACATTTGCGTAAGCGTGGTGGTAAACAGTCTCAACCGCAGTCCAGACTAGCTCACAAAGCAAATTGGGAGTCTGACACGATGCGCATGTTCTTGCAACTTGTTATCAAAGAGTTGGACTCAGGTTTCAAGGGCAGCTTCCATACAATGACAATGCACGGATGCAGGGCTATCGCCAAGGCCTTCGAGGAGCGTACACATAAGGTTCATGAGGTGAAGCAACTGCAAAACAAGTACGCGTCACTGAAAAAGGATTGGCAGTCATGGTCACGCCTGATGGACAGCAGGCATGGGCCAACCGGCGTAAGTTACAATGAAGCAACTGGTTTGATACAAGCATCCGACGACTGGTGGGCCCATTATGAAAAGGTAATAATTCCATATTCTTCTTTGTAATATCCAACGTGCAAAATTAAATATATGTTACAATATATATTTATAAAAATTCTTCAAACATATTTTAATGTGACCAAAAACAAGAACTAAACTTGGTTAGACTTTTCACCCCATCAACCGTTGTTATACTTGCCAAGTGGCCTATCAGTCTCTCTATCTCCCTCCCTATGTATGACTGTTTTGTGAAATTTGTTTAACTTCTTTGTGAGTTTCTGTGGCCAAGTACTTGACTGACTTCACTTCATTAGCTAATGTCAGTACTTCACTAGCTAATGGATTCATTGGTACGTAAGCATGGGCAAACAATCTTAACATTCAATTTGTATTTCCCTTATTGGTGCCACCTCTACTTTTCCAAAATTGTGTACATGTCTTCTTTTCTATAAGGCTCTTCCCTGCGTTTAATTGATAGGAAATGAAAGAAATACGAATATCAAAACTATTTTCCTTTTCTGCATACGAAAACGTGGGTTCCACCATTGTCATTTTGTTGAAGAAAGTATTTTTTGCTTAAATCATTTCCTATACATAAAAATTGAGATTATGCAGCTATGGGAGAGTTATAAAAATTTCTGACTGTCAGAAAAAGTAATTTGTCCCGCTGACTGTCATAAAACAAGCCGGAGTTAATTTCTTATCATATATTACATTATCTGAAATGGCTCTGAAATAGCTTTGAAATTCAAGGGCTTATCAGTAAACATACATTTTGGGGTTTCTCTGAAGATGAGAACTTGTTTTTATTCTCTTTTAACATTCCTGAATTGGATGTACCTAACATCCATGGTCGTGCTATATAGCGATCCCGGTTGTCCCTTTACTGTTCTATTGTATTCCGGACTCGATTCCGTGAAGTTAGTAGTTGTATCTATCTTGTTGTCATCCTTTAATTCCACTTGATTGAGTTTTAGGATGTATTGAGCAGAATTGTTACAGGTTGGTTAGGCCTTGGTTTCAATTCTTTGTTGCCCAGTTTTTAGGAGGTCTGCTCGAGCGGGTCTTCTTGCGCTCGAGCGGAGATTGCACACTCCCCGTATTTTCGTGTCCCTGCAAAACTTCTACAGGTGTGATTTTTGCGCTCGAGCGGTTTTCTCTACGCTCGAGCGATGGCGCTCGAGCGGGTAGTACCTTTGGGTGTAAGTTCTGGGAGCAGGAAATCTACGCTCGAGCAGACTGGTTTTCGCGCTCAAGCGGGTTTACTTTATTCTTGTGTCTTGGCGCTCGAGCAGGTCTTTTTACGCTCGAGCAGACCTAGTTTTTGTTCTTGACGCTCGAGCATTGTGTTTTCCGCTCGAGCGGGAATTTCGTATATCAGTTAGCTGTGAGGTAGTTTTAAATCACTTTTTCTCATCCTTTCTCTCTCTTACTTTTCCAAAAAGGCCATTTGAGAGTCTCTCTCTCTAAAACCCTGCCTTCTCTCTAGATATTGATCTAGCTAGGGTGTTTTCCTCACCTTTGGCCGTTACATAAAGGTTATTGATCGTCGAGGGCTATCTTTTGATCCGAGAAACTCGTGGTTTGGAGCAACTTCGTTTTCACCATCTTCCTCGTTGGGTCTCATCTTTTGAGGTAGGGATTCCTACTCACTCTTATGGGTTTTAACCTAGATTTTGAGCCTATTATTTAAATGGTTGATTTTGGGACTTAGGGTTTCAAAATGTGTTAAAGAGGGTTTTATGATTTTGGACTCATAATATGTATTTTGGGTTTCAAAATGATGATATTGTTGTTGGTTGGTGATATTGGAACCTTTGGGTTAATATCGAGAGTTGGGGGTAAAAACCCTAATTTGTTATTTAAAATTAATTGGTATAATAAATTTGGGAAAATTGTGAACTTATGGAATTGAGTTGGATATAATGAAATTGGCTTATTATATTGTGAAATGATGGAGTTGAAAACATTGATATAATGAAATTGGCTCACTTTTGAAAACATTGATATTTTATCTGTTGGAGCTTTTATTATCTGTTTAGAAATAATTGCTTGGGCTACCGGTGGAGGGTAGTTTTGATTGTTGTAGACAATGCATGATGATTAGGCAAACTAAAACTAGTCAATTAGATATGTCATAGAGTATGGCAGTTGATAGAATACATTAACGTTATGTATTGATTGATTGTGTATATGACCTTTGTGTATATATGCATTGTGTGTGGGGGGGGAGGAGATAGGGGATGTACTCCACAGTTTAGGAGAAGATAGGGGATGGACCTCTAAACCGGATGTTGTTTGTGAGGAGATAGGGGATGGACTCCACTGATACAGCTCATATGCTTGTCAGATAATGTGTTGATATAGCTCATATGCTTATCCTTGGAAGTGTTGATACAGCTCATATGCTTGTCATTGGAAGTGTTGATATAGCTAATATGCATATCTGTTGAAATGTGGGTACAGCTTGTATGCTTACCTGTTAAGATGTTGATACAACTAGTATGTTTATCTATTGTGATAATGAGAAATGTTTAATATGAGTCACTATCTCATATAAGTGGTTGGCCAGGTTCTGAGCCATTGATGTAAATTGTGAAATTGATAAGAAATGGAAACTGAAATGAAACATGAACGTAGTGGTCATGAGATGGAAATGGGTTATGAATTGGTTTATGAAAATTGAACATTTATCAATTGCTAATGTCTTAGTTATTGCTCATGCTGTGTTTAGCATATCTCTACTGGGCGTTGGCTCACCCTTTATGGGACATTATTTTCAGGTACAGGTAGTATGCCACCTCCAAGGGCGTAGCTTGAATGATAATGAGAGTTGAAGACTCTTTCTTTTGTTTATTTTGATGTATTACATGTAAATTCCAGCCAAGGGCTTAATATGTATTGAGTTAGTACTCTTCTTTTTGTAACCAAGTGTTAACTTGGAAAGCTGTAAGCCCATAGGGCATTTGCTTTTGTTGTTAACATGTAATACAGTTGTAAGAATTACTCTGATAAATAGAAATGGTTGATTTCTTTTATATCAATGCATGTCTGATATGTTGGGTATTATGTATTATTTTGAGGGCGTTACATGCTATATCTGCTTTCAAGGCCACTGGATAGAAGTAATGTTGGTTTTTATATTTTTGGTTTTATAGAAGTTCTGTTTCTGATTCACAGCAAACTGCTTCATACCAATAAATTGCAAAGTTTCATTATTGATTGGGGGTTATTTATTTCAAGCTTCATTCTATGATATACTTTTGGAAAATATGTCTTACCTTGCATTTCCCCCTCTTTTTTTTTTGGCTTCAGATCCACTGCAGAATTTCAATTCATGAATATTGAAGAATTTTTAGTGACTTGATCTCTGACTTCTACAGCTTTATCTTATCCTGCACTGCTTTCACAATTGGGTTCTTAATTTAGCAATCAACTATAGTTTATAATCTATACTTATAAACAATGAACATAATCTGGCAATCAGTCTGTAAACATCACTGCAAGAATTCATGCAATCTGGTAACAACTTCTTTTTTACTAAACCTGTAACATAAACAAAATCTTCCATGGCTGTTGTTGTGTTTATCCTCCTTCCTTGATTCACTTCATTATGTTTACGTGTTTTGGTTTTCCCCAGATTGACAAGAATGCACTGAAGTTCAAAACGAAACCGTTGGAGCATATGGAGCTAATGCGAAGGGTGTACGAAAGTGCAACTGCAACCGGGAAATTCGCATGGACACCAGGGGCAGGGTTCGAACCTGTGGCCACGGAGGACAATCCGTTGCTGGTAGATGAAGAAGACTGCGAAGACAGCAGTGGTTTGCCCCATTTCCAGCCATCCGCGCAGCATGGACAAACTGTCCACCACAGTTCTGCGCAAGAGGAGGATATCCCGGTCAATGTACATGCTGCGGCATCGGCAATTCACGCTGAGGACATCCCGGTCAGTGTACATGCTGCGGCATCGCCAAATCACGCTGATGACACACCTACGAGTGGCCAAAGCAAACGCAAATTCAGTCGCACAACACACTCGCAGCGGAAAAAAGGGCAGAGTGTCGGCGCATCGCTCTTGGCGAGTAGCATGGAAAACCTTGCGTCTTTAGTTAAATTACAACAACGAGAAGTCCGCGTGCATTATGAATATGGAGATTCGGCCTCAGACTGCATTCGCAATTATATGGCAAGGTTGTACTCCCTACAAGGCTTGGACCGACAAGACCTACTAATCCTTTACGGTATGTCGCTAATGGACAATCCGGCAAATCAGGCAATACTGTTGTAGCTTCTGACGGACGCAGATGTCATTACTTGCCTGCGAATCAAGAAGTCCCACAGTATGGGTGGCCCATCAGCGCCAACTCACGGCCCCTGGTTTTGACGGCCTCAGTCACCAGAAATGGCTCATGTTTCATTAATATCCTGCATTAGTTGTTTTAATTGTTGCTACCTCCTATGTTTGTTTTATGTTTATTATTTCCCCTATGCTTGAGAGTGGCTGTTGGATTTTTTTAAAATTATGGAATCGGTGTGTGATGTGTTGGATGTTTAATTGGGACTTTGTATGCAGCAGGCAGGTTATTTATAAATGTGTTGGATGTTTTCTTTTCGTTCCCTTATAAATGTGTTTCGATTCCTAGGTTTTAAGGGATGCTAACAAAGCAGCTTACTGAATAGTGATGACCCACCTTTTATGAGTGTGTTGTATATCTGTGGTCTATGGCTATTCAGACCATTCATAGTGAGGACCCACCTTTTATTAATAGTGATGACCCACCATTCATGAGCATAGCAACGAAACGAACATGGCTATTCAGTAAATGAGGATTCTAACCTTTTATTAATGACTTCTCGTAAATGAGGATTCTAACTTCATGTTTACGAGAAGTCATTTGCCCCAACTCGTCAAGACTATTGATCTTACAAGACTTTACAGATTGACAACACAGAGCATTGGGGAAATTTTCCGGTGGTGCTCTCAGAAGGAAAAAGTGTTAAATTAATTGAAACATTTCAATTCAACTTAAAGGCAGATGTGTTAATTTGAACTGTTAATGGATAGAGGTTGAATGGAATTAAATCCTTTGTAGTCTGTAAAAAATTAAATGACAATCAGAAATGAAAGAAATATTTGTAAAAACGTGACTCTTAAAAAATTAAAATATTCACACACGAAAAAAAAAATGTACTAGTAATTTTGGTTTTATTATTTTTTTTTTTTTGTATTAGTATTAGTTAATTTTTTGTAGCAAAATTGACAAATATTATATTTTCAAAGTGTATATTAGGTGTGTTCACAAATAATTAAAAAAATTGTAACAAAGATGATAATAGTGGATGTAAAGTGTTAAAAATATACATACATTTTCGGACAATAATGGAACTGACAGAGGGAGCCGTAGGCAGATAGACTGGTGCTATGGTTTGTACCTAAATATTTGCCGAAAGATTGTTGTGAACTTCCTTCAATATTGTCCATTTGTGAGTCTTGACAGATGCTACAATTGTAGACCATAGGTTTTTCATGGCAGGTTCTTGTGTGGGTGATTTTCCGACCACACTGCCCGCTTAGTAACCAACTGGAGAGCACTAGCAGAATAGATGGCACCTGACTGACCTGCAACAGAAATATAAGAATCCCGCGGTGGTTTCGACCACCCGGGGGCACTCCGACGATCAAGTCAGTATATCTCTCAAAGATAAATCAAATACTAAACTCACAAACTTGAGTATCAAAAGCATACCTTAGACCCATGGGGGTGCCTCTCTTTTATAGCCAACATAAACCTAGTCCCAATAGAAGCCTAACTTCTATGGACTCAGGATTACTGCTAATCTTGGACTCCCAGTAAGATTAGGATAAACTCTCTAAGAAGTCTTATCTTTAACCAAAAATGAAGTCTTCTCCTTCTCAATTCTAGGACCTTGTCCCTTATCCACTTATCTCGGATTCCGATATCTTCGGAGATAACCTCAGCTTTACCGAGTATCACCTCGGCGTCACGACCAGGACACAGTGGCACCTCAGCTGACACGTCGGCGTCACCTTGCCACGTGTTGGTACTCAGAGAATATATCCCACAACTGCTCCTTAGGTCTAATTACCATCGGCAATTCTGAGGTGATAGAACCTACACTGTTCGTTCATCTGTGCCCCTTTGTCCGAGATCAAACTTGTTGACCACAAAGTTCCCTGGACTTTACTGTCCACTTCTGTCATGTATCAAGATTCATGCCTTCCAAGCTGCTTGAAATCGCACCTCCTAGCCGAGGTTCTGGTTCCATTAATTCGTAAACTGCAAGAGCTTTGCAACTGCTCCACCCACATTTTCCGGTGGGTTCTCGACTTCCAATCATCTATTTGACTCCGGCGATTTTCATATCGGCGTTCATTTCACTTTGTAGGTTCATAAACTCTTTACTTGCTATTAAGTTCAATCTTTCATAACTCTTTTGATTTACTTTAAATCTGTTTATTTGCCATCTGTTGCCTTCTATTTTCATCTGTTTTCAAGTTTTGAATTGTTTGAATGCCTGGCACTGTTCTTGTCATATCCGCTTTCTGTTGCTAGCATTGTGTCTGGGTCATTACTTTTTTATTCTTCACATACTTACTTAGTGCCTGTGCACTTGGCTTTATTCTTGAACTTTGTCATCTTCTTGACTCTGATTTTTCTCTTATTGTTTTTCTTGTTGTATTTCCATATTCTTGCCTTCGTTTCTATTTTCTGTATAGTCTTAGAACCACGTCCCTTCTTAAAATTGTTGCCCAGATAATGGTAGAGAAGCTCTTCCAGCTGATTGCTAATGCTGAACCACCGTCAGCCGTTTGAAGTAGATTAGTCCGACGTTCTTGCCTTAGTCCCTAGTTCTTAGGGTCTTCATCTTTGTACTTTTGTTTTCTTTGCATATGTCACCTCTTTTGCTTCTGAAAAATGTCTGTTGTTGGCCAATGTTAACATCCTTTGCTCCTTGATTATCATTCCTTTTTCCACTGTATTTGATAGCCATGTCAGGTAATTGACTTCTCGGATTTCCCTGAGCTTTAGAAGTCTGTCTACTTCTTCCTCTACTGCTTCGACGTGCATCAACGTCGGTCCTCTTGCTCATTGGATTACAGGTTTGGCCTACCTGTTGACGTTCAGTTGGTGGCAAGTGACCTCGGGGTCAATGCCAGGCATTTCGTAAGGTGTCCAAGCAAATACCTCAATGTTTGCTCTCAAAAAAGCTTCCAATTCTCTTTCTTCTTCTTCAGCTAAGCCTGAGCCGAGAAGAAAGAAGCGTTCTTGATCATCCTCCTGGACGAGGGCTTTCTTTAGTGCTTCTTCACTTTTCTCGGCTGGTTCCTTGCCGACATCATCTAGGACCTTCATGTCCTCGTCTTCAATCTCTGCCTTCTCTGATTTTCGAATGCTGCAGGTGGATTTCATTGCTTTCATGGAGCAATTCTCCATCTGGAGTTGATCCCCTCTGACTCCTTCAAGCCCATGTTCTGTTGGGAACCGTAGTAGTTGATGCAATGTTAAGGGAACTGCCCCCATTGCATGCAACCATGATCTTCCCAAGATTTGTAAGGAGATGGAGTGTCGATGATGGTGAATTCTATTGTGATCTCTCTGGTGCCAGCCTGCACCTCCAAGCTTACTGCTCTCAGTGCCCATGTTGGCGTTCCATTAAACCCAACCATTGGGCCATTGGGTTGCTCCATATCGTCTGGATGTAGGCCGTGCTCCTTGTAACATCGGACATACATGATGTCACAAGAACTTCCTTGGTCAATCAGGATGCGTTTCATTTGGCACTCCCCAACCTGGAGGGATACTACCAAAGCATCACTATGCAGGTGCTGGACCATCTCGAGGTCGGCTTCGGTAAAAGACACTACTGGTCCCAAGCATTCATCTGCCCGATGTCTCTTGTCCCCGACGCATCCTTGGGTCAAGTCAGCAATGTATCAATGTCATGGGGTTGGAAAGTAATGGTTCCAAGTTGTACTCTCTTGCCATTAATGGTTCCAACTTATACACTCATGCCATTATTCATAGACAGAAACATGTGCTCATGATGTGATTATTAGTTCAGAAAGAAATTTCTCATTTTGTCCACACAAAGTAGGACAATAAATCAACCACATACATATGAGCAGGGACCGAATCAGAATTTCATTATCAGAGAGGTCAAAAGAAAAATAATTTTTTTTACTATATACACAAAACACACATGTATAGATAATATGATATATATAAATTTTATATACATTAACAAAAATTTAAATACCATAGAAGTAATTTCTAATATGATGAAAAAGTTTTTTTTGGTGTAAAATAGATAAGACAGGCTCGATGGAAGAAGAATGACATATATATATATATATATTTTTATACTAGGGGCCATTTTAAGTATAAATGATATATATATATATATATATATATGTATGTATTGATGAGGGATTTATGAGTATTTCCTCATGTAATTATTTATTATGAGTATCTCAATGTAACTCTAAGCATGTATAATTGTTGAAGTTTATTCAAGAGAGAACACTTTCTATTTACTCAGGTGTAATTATTATTCCAATGCATATTATGTAACTGGACTTAAATAAAGGTTTTGGTACTGTATCCGATTAATAAAATTTGGGGCGTGATATTGTCGGTTGATTCAACTATCTTCCGTTTCTATTTCATCTACTGATAAGATGGCTCTTGTTGCTCATTATGCCCCCTGACCTCCTCATGAAGGGTTATTTGTCATCACTAGCATTGTAGTAAGCTTGGGCATGTTGAGGACCGTTACTTCAAACTTCATCCTGAGTTGAAGCGTTGTGTTGCTTAAAAGGCAAATCCCAAGACTTCCACTATTGCTAATACTACTAGCTCTCATATCTCATTTCGAACCCCAGACTTACATCAGCTTTAATCTCAGATTAGTCATCTTCAGGATTAGCTGGGCTCACTATCTGCATATGCATCTGGTCTATTTGCTTCCATTGGTACTCTTGCCAGAGGTACTCATCATGCCTCATCTTGAGGAAATTTTCATAAAAGCATGTAAAGAAAGTTAGGGTTTTCAAATTATGGGGGTTGCACTTATGATTGAAGTGCAATATGAACAAATTGGAGTTACTAGAATGTAGTTTTGTGCCTTAGAGTAAAAAGCCCTAAATTTTGTTAAACCCTAGTAATGGTTTCTTTGTTATGAAGATGAAAGATTAATTAATTGACCCTAAATTCTTGAAATTAAGTTTATGATTGGTTAAGAGGAGTATAAATTATGATAATTAGT